GGGGAGGCAGGGAATTTGTAACCCATTCACCTTGAAATTAAGAAGAAATGTTATGAAAATTCATTTTGCCTCTTGAAAGTACTTTTTTAAAAAAATTGTTTATTCACTAGTACTAGAACATGAACAGATAATTTAGGCAAAATTCAAAATGTCATTTATTGCTATAACAGAAAGTATAGTAGAATCTCACCTGTATTGTATCTTACTGTATATCAATTAGCTATTGATTAAACTGGGATCCCTATAATGTAAGAAAATGGTATCCTTTAAAATAAAGAATACATAGGCCCAGCCCGTGGCTCACTTGGGAGAGTGTGGTGTTGATAGCACCAAGGCCACGGGTTCGGATCCCTATATACGGATGGCCACTTAACTCACTTAGAAGAGCGTGGTGCTGACAACACCATGTCAGGGGTTAGGATCCCCTTACCAGTCATCTTTAAAAAAATAATAATAATAAAGTAAAGAATACACACAGACTCTTGCCCTTTATACAGTATATATGTAAGACGTTTTAGAGAAAGAGTGTGGGATTTGCAGTAAGACAGTCCTGGGTTTGTATCCTGATTCCACCATTTACTCTTTTACTAGTTATGTGACCTTGAGCAAATTACTTAATCTCCTTTTCTTTAATTTTAACATGGAGATCGTTCCCTATTCACAAGGATATTTGAGAATTAAAGCAGTTAGCATAATACCTGGCACATTCATTGAGCTCAATAAATTTTAGATCCTTCATTTCGCTGATGGCAGCCTCTTCGCCCACTCAAATGCCCAGACTCTTCCAGCTCATCTCTGACCAAGCCACTTAAAGACTGATTGATTTTACATTAGGGTGGATGAGTTTAACCATCACTTACTTATTACGCCCTTTAATACCCAATTGTGAATAAAAGGATTTGTCTTGCAAAGGAATTTTAGCCTGCCTTTGGGTGGATGTCTAGGGTGTTATGGTGTTAGAAGTTTCCCTGAGAACACACCACTTATAGCCTCTCTGGCTATGGCTGGTGTTGTTTCCAGTGGTTGCTGAGTTTGGAGAGAGAAGGAGCCTATGTCATTGGATTTTGTTTATTTGTTTTTTTGTAAAAGAAACCCTTCCTATTTTAGTACAGATTTTCAGCCAATTTCAGTTTTTGTTCTTTCAGATGTCATTTCTCAGAAATGGCCATACCTACTACTCTTGTTTTACCTAATCATAAACGGCTCTCATTTCTCTTTCCTTTCAGTACTCCAGCGTGCATCCTTTATGTTTGCTGACACATGTAATCTTATTTTATTTAGAATTTAATGATATTTTCCCATGCAACCTGAGTCACTTCTATTGCTGACCATGGATTTCCTGTCAGTGCATGTGATTACAAGTATTCTCTTCTTTAATAAAATTGTTACTTTATATGCAATAAAAATGTGCTGAAACAATTGAAGTCCGCCAACCAGCTATGTGAGCTTAAGCAATTATTCAACCTCTCTAAACATCAATTTCCTCTTCTGTCAAATGAAGCTAATAATGACCCCCCACCTCAAAATGATGTTATCATGATTAAATTAGACAAGCCAGGAAAATACTCACTTATTTGCATGTATTATTTATGTATGTTACACATATTCCAACTGATTCTTCTTTTTCATTAGGAAAGTGGTTTGTATCAGTTCCTCCTTTTTTTTGTCAAATTAGGGAGAGATAATTTCTAAATTCAGTATATAATTTTAGAAAGATAAACTTTTGAATCTTTAAAGAATTAATCTCTAAAATAAGATCATTTGAAAAGTATTTTGAAAGTCACTTTCTACACCTTTGTTACATTAGTTTGCTATACTACTCAGTTTTACTTTCTAGAATTATTGTCTCTGATTTAATTATTCTTACAAACTGTCTTGCATATTTTCTGTTATTTTAACCATTTTCCTACTGGGAGCTAGACTGAAACACTTCCTCAGAAACTTTACATTTAATATCTCAGAATGTAAAATACCTTTTAAATGGCCATGTTTTAAAACAGAAAAATAAAGGATCAGAATCCAAGTAAAACATTTTTCCTGTTTATTCTTTGTTGATTCAGCATTCAACTTAGCAAAGTTGGAACTTATGAAAGTTAACTGATTGTCATGATTACTGGGATTTATAAGATACCTAGAAGCCCACTTAAGTATGGTCTCTTAGATCTCCAACACTTATCTACGTAAAAAAAAATTTTGATTATATGTTCTGGTAAAAATAAAACTACTTGCATGTCAGCATTGCAGTAAGAGATATAAAAAGCAGATAATTTCAATAGAAATTTTCATTCATTGAAAATTGCAGTTTGCTTTGTTTCCAGTTTTATATTGCAATGGTTAAGAGAATGAGCTCTCTGAAGCCCTAATTTGATTCCCAGATCCATCACCGATAGCTGTATAATTATGGGAAAATTATGTAAACTCTCTTGTGAGCTGTTTTCTAATCTGTAAATGAGGTAATAAGAGTATTTACCTCATGGAAGTGTTCTAAAGATGGAACGGATAAATACAAGCAAAACCCTTAGAATAGTGTTTGGCACAGGAGAACTTAATACGTGCTAGCTGGTGTTATTGTTAAAGAAGTATTAAAATGTCATGATTAAAATACAAAACATTTTATTTACATATTTTGATATCATTGAATTTAAAAAGCCCATTTATTTTTTATATCAATTTATATAATTTTTATTTATTGTTTGTTTATTTATTTATTATTTTAATTTATCAATATACAATGTAGTTGATTTTCATGTCCCTTTACCAATTCCTCTTTCCCACTTCCCTCTCCCCCCACCCCATCAACATCATATCTGTTCACTTGTCTTAAGAAGTTCAGGGAATTGTTGTGATCATTGTGTCTTCTCCCCCCCCCCCAATTTATTTGTTTGCATATTTATTTATTTATTTTTAGCTCCCGCAAATAAGTGGAACATGTGGTATTTCTCTTTCTGTGCCTGACTTATTTCACTTAATATAATTTTTCTAAGTCCATCCATGTTGCTGCAAATGGTAGTATTTCATTCTTTTTTATAGCAGAGTAGAATTCCATTGTGTAGATATACATAAGTTTCCTTAGGCAGTCATCTGTTGATGGACATTTGGGCTGTTTCCAGCTCTTGGCTATTGAAAATAATGCTGCAGTAAACATGGCGGTACAGGTATCCCTTTGACATGATGATTTCCATTCCTCTGGGTATATACCCAGCAGTGGAATAGCTGGGTCATATGGTACTTCTGTCTGTAATTGTCTGACGAACCTCCATACCATTTTCCATAAAGGCTGCACCATTTTGCAGTCCCACAATCAGTCTGTGAGGGTTTCTTTTTCTCTGCAACATCCCAGCATTTATCATTCTCAGTCTTTTGGATATTAGCCATCCTTATTGGAATGAGATGATATCTTAAAGTGGTTTTGATTAGCATTTCCTAGATGCTGAGTGATGTTGAGCATTTTTTCATGCTTCTGTTGGCCATTTGTATATCTTACTTTGAGAAATACCTGTTCAGCTCCTTTGCCCATTTTTTAATGGAGTTACTTTTTGAGTTCCTTATATATTCTGGATGTTAATCCTTTGTCAGATGTATATTTTGCGAATATTTTCTCCCACTCTGTTAGTTGTCTTTTCATTCTGTTAATTGTTTC